CGATTTGTTAAAAGTCGTAAAATACCCTTTGTACAGAAACCTAAACTAGTACATGTAGAAGTCATAGATGGTCGTCCCTTGTCTTCTGGAGATGTCACTCATGAAACTCATCCTATAAAAGTAACAATAGATGGTCATGATAGCTACATAGCTTTTAACATAATTAAATCCCCGTCCAATCCAGTTATTTTAGGTTTATCCTGGCTAGAAAAATATAACCCTCGAATAGATTGGAATTCACATAAACTTGACTTTTCCCAAAGCGTTATTAATAGTTCTACCAACCAAGTAAAAAATTATAAGTCTAGTATAGAAAAACCCATACTGATAGGTGCAAAAGCATTTATATATGCAACAAAAGAAGGATCAACTTTTGCTATTTATGCTACACCTATTTCTGAAAACGTAAAGACTTCAAGTGGCATTCCAAGTCAATATCAGGAGTATCAAGACGTTTTTGAAAAAAAGAATGCAGATATTCTTCCTAAACATCGTCCATATGATTGTTCAATCGACGTCAAGGAAAGAACTCAGCCACCATTTGGACCAATTTACAGTTTATCGCAAGATGAGATGGCTGAACTCAAGACATATATTGACGAGAATTTAGTGAAGAATTTCTTACGCCATTCAAAATCTCCAGCAGGAGCTCCAATTCTATTCGTAAAGAAAAAAGATGGATCTTTACGAATGTGTGTTGATTATCGAGGACTCAACAAGATCACAATCAAGAACAGGTATCCATTACCTTTGATATCAGGACTCCTTGACCAGTTGAATCAAGCTAAGATCTATACAAAAATAGATCTAAGAGGAGCATATAATCTAGTACGGATCAAAGAAGGAGATGAATGGAAGACTGCGTTTCGAACTAGGTATGGACATTTCGAATATAATGTCATGCCCTTTGGACTCACGAATACACCAGCTGCTTTTCAACATCTCATGAATGATGTATTTCGTGAATTCTTAGATAATTTTGTTGTCTGCTATTTAGACGATATCCTGATCTATTCTAAGAACGTCGAAGAACATGAAATACATGTTCGTCAAGTATTACAAAAACTTAGAGATGCAGGATTGTACGCCAAGATGGAAAAGTGTGTATTTCACACTACTCAAGTTGACTTTTTAGGATACATCATTTCAAATGATGGTCTCATGATGGATTCTAAAAAAGTCCAAACAATCATGGATTGGAAGATTCCAAGGACAGTAAGAGATGTCCAATGTTTCTTGAGATTTGCCAATTACTATCGGATCTTCATCAAAGATTTCTCACGAGTTGCAGCTCCACTTACACGCTTGACTAGTAAAAATAAATTTCAATGGAATCAAGAAGCGGAAGCAGCATTTGAAGCCTTGAAGACATCGTTTGTCTCTGCACCAGTCTTATATCGTGTTGACTTTTCCAAGGCATTTTTTATGGAAACAGATGCATCAGATTTTGCCTTGGGTGCAGTTTTATCACAAATGGGAACAGATGACAAACTTCATCCGATAGCTTTTCATTCAAGAAAATTCTCAGCAGCCGAGATCAATTATGAGATCCACGATAAAGAACTTCTTAAGATCGTAGATTCCTTTCAAGAATGGCATCATTATCTAGAAGGCGCTTCTAGTCCAGTCACTGTATATACAGATCACAAGAACCTCGAGTATTTCATGTCAACACGCGTGTTGAATCATCGTCAAGCTCGTTGGAGTATGTCTTTGTCAAGATTCGAGTTCATTATCACTTATCGGCTAGGAAAACAACAAGATTTGTCCGATGCCCTATCTAGATGTTCTTATTTTGCACCAAAAGAAGGAGATGCAGCTTTTGAGCAACAAAGAACGGTCCTCTTGAAATCGGAGCAATTTCATCTCCGAGCAATGAAATCAACATTGACTGTTGATTCAACTTTTCTCAAGCAAATCCAGTCCAGTATGTCCTCAGACCCTCTTGTTTATGATATCGAGAATAATTCTTCCAAGTCTCATGATCCTTCTAAGTTCGAGTTCAAGAATAATCTATTATATTTTGAAAGATGCCTATATGTTCCAGAAGGAGAAGCACGTTTACGTGTTCTTCAAGCACGTCATGACTTTCCAGCAGCAGGGCACTTTGGATATAATAAGACTTTGGAACTCATATCAAGAGATTTTTGGTGGCCACAAATGTGGAAGTCAGTCAAAGACTTTGTACAATCATGTGATATTTGTTCAAGATCAAAAATTCCTCGTCATCGACCTTACGGACTTCTTCAGCCATTACCTATACCAGAACAACCATGGTCTTCTGTTTCTATGGATTTCATCACAGATCTTCTAAGCTCAAGATCTTATGATTTTATATTTGTGATAGTAGATCGTTTCACCAAGATGGCACATTTTGTGCCATGTACAAAATCTATCACAGGTGAAGAAACAGCTAAGCTTTTCATTGATAATATCTATCGCTATCATGGATTACCTAAAGATATCATATCAGATAGGGGAACTCAATTTGTGTCAAGATTTTGGAGGACCCTTTTCAAGATTTTAAAAGTGGACATAAACCTATCTTCGGCTTTCTATCCTCAAACTGATGGACAAACAAAGCGCGTAAACCAAGTCTTGGAGCAATATTTAAGGTGTACTATCAACTACCAACAAGATGATTGGACAACCCTTCTGCCATTGGCAGAGTTTGCTTATAATAATACGGTACATTCTTCCACGCAACAAACACCTTTCTTTGCCAATTATGGCTATCATCCACGACTTGATACTTTTGATTTTTCAAAAGTTGATAATCCTGCAGCAGAAGATATGGCAAATCGGTTGTCAGAGTTACATGCAATAATGAAGACGCAATTGAAGGAAGCTCAAGAACGACAAAAGATAAACGCAGATCTATATCGTAAGGAGCAACCACAAATCAACGTGGGTGATAAGGTATGGCTACTTCGTCGCAATATCAAGACTATTCGACCTTGTGATAAGTTGGACTATCGTAGGCTTGGTCCCTTTTCTGTTTCTGAACAGATCAACCCAGTTGCATATCGGTTACATCTACCGGAGTCAATGAAGATCCATCCTGTATTCCACGTGTCTCTTCTTGAACCATATAAGACAGTGGATATACAAGGAAGAAGACAAATGCCACCGCCTCCTATAGAAGTAGATAATAATGAAGAATTTGAGGTGGAAGAGATATTAGACTCAAGGCGGCGCCGAAATAAGCTGGAATATCTTGTTCATTGACGCGGATATGATATTAGTGAACGCACATGGGAGCCATCCAGGAATCTAGCAAATGCATCAGCTAAAGTCAAAGTTTTTCATCAACAACATCCATCGAAACCAAGATGAAAATCTCTCTTATAAAAGAGACAAGATTGAGGCAAGATAACATTCAATTTCCTATCCTTGTTTGTAACTTCTTTGCATTTGTGTCGCTAATTAGATGGAGAACCAACAACCAGCGGATTCAACTCAAGAACCTTCGTTTGCTGACCTGTCGGACGAGACATTACGATTGTTACAACCTTCAAGACGACGCAATCGAGACGAAGATCTTCAAGAACGACATGTTCTTCCTCGAACAGATGGTGAGATACAACGCGTTTGGTATCACGATTTGGGAAGGGACTCTCGATGTTTGGTGATTTTGCTAGAGGTAGGAACAACTCCTGATGGTGTTCCAAATATTCTATTCGAAGGAAGTTACGAAGGCCTCAACAATGATCAAATAACTGGGTGGTCTTCCCGCCCTGGTATGGGACACTACCGATGGTTGAGAGGCCCTATCAATCATCTTCGAAGAGAACAGAGATCAGAGTATGTGGCGAATATAATTCGTCGCATCATAGATTTCCTCAACATATGATGACCGCTCCTCGTGGAACTCGTCTCTAGAAGGGGGGGTAATGTCACGGCCATAATCATGTAAGCTAATAATTACATATAGAAATAGGTAGAAGTAAGTAAAAGTAGATAAAAGTAAGTTAATTCTATAATATTTAATATAGAAGCTTCCTAGAAACTTCCTAGACGCTGCTTTGACTTCATAGGTGTCTTTAATTGACTTTTTGGATTAGAAACGTGGTCAACAAGTTGGCCATGTGCCACACATGTTGTTAGCTTGAAGATCAAGCTAACTATGTGGCCCACACGTAGAAAAACTTGCCTTGTAAGTCAAGGCATGTGTCCTACAAAGTCAACACATATTGGAGGTCCTATAGAACGTCGCCACGTAGCCCCTAGTTAGATAGTATATATAGAGACAAGAGTGAAGGCTTCTTCACTCTTGTCAACTCCTTTCTTGCTTCTAGTCCAGGTTCAAGAGTCTTTAGTTTCTTGTCTTGTGGCAATAGCCATTCCAGTTTCCTTTTAATATACCTACTTGTTTATATTTTGACTTATTATATTGAGATAGCCTTTTGGTGTATATTTTCCCTCATCGAGTCTTTGTCCTTGATACCAACAATACTTATTACAACCTATTCTAATATATTGTGATAATCAAAGCACCTTAGCTTTTGTCAATACTACTAACTTTCCTGCACAAACTTAACATATAATAATTCAACATCACTTTTTTAAGCAATTAGCTCCACTTAAAAATTTACAATTCATTTGTTGTCCTATTCAAGACATGAAAGCAGACATGAAAGCAATCTTTACGAAGGGCCGGTCATCTACCAATGCTTGGCATGTTTGAAAGGGTGTTGGAATGCAGCCCTTACATCCAATGTTAGCTAAAAACCTGTCCTATTTCCAATAACTCGCCTAATGAGAAGTGCCTGATGAAGATTGAATCTCAGCATGCTAAGACCTCCTCATTCAGCTTAAATCCATGAAACAGATTCGCAGGAATGGACGAGGTGAAGTGATCAATGTGCTAACAGTCTCGGTCCCGCACAGAGGACAAATTTCTCCGACATATCCTGCGTTCTTTCAGGGGAGTCTTGCGGAACAAGTCCAAGAGTCTTTCAACTTGCAATCATCTAATTGATTGTACAGACACGGCTCCATTCTCAAATTCACCTCTCAATATGAATGTCCCACCATATTACGGCGTTATCATTACTCTATTTTTTTATTTTTTATTACATAGCACACATTATCACGACCTCCGATAGAATTACCGTATCAGCGCAACCTCGAAAGAATGGGTTGATTGATCATTTGTCAGCATTCCATTGCTGCATCATGATTATGTGATCACAACGACAATAAGCTTGTTTTTAAGGAGCTACCAGCACTACACGAAACTACAAGATAATTCTGTGGTCTAAACAACAAATGCATTTATGTCTGAAAAGTGGGGAAGCCTAGAATAAGGTCAGGCTGTGTTCCCCAGGCTTCAAATTCATGACAAATTTCGCAATGACGCCAACGAATGCTGCATTTATGTATGTAGTTGGCTCTGTCTGCGAAGAGACATTCCTAAAATCAGTGAAATTGTCGGCACTGTTGGGCCCTCCGACGATGGCGCCCGTCAAGACATTAGGGTTTGGGTTATTGCTGTGGAACCAGTCGACGTAGCCTTGTCCGCAACCAACATGCTCAGGGCTCACACGGATGGACGCTATGGAGGCGCCTCGGTGATGAAACTGGACCGGTGGATTCCTCCCAAACCCCGCCATGTATGATCGCTCAAGGGGATTATTTCCTAATACGTAATCGAGCTGCAGCATTCGCAACAAATTCTTCGCATTAGATAGGATCCTCCATAGTCAAGAGCTGTCAACATGGTAACATCTAGCTTTGGGTGGTAATGGATCGATGATGGTCCGCAGAAAGTTTCGATGAACGTAACTAATCTCGAAGAAGTTTTACCTGAGATTTGGCGAATGCCAATAAATTGCTGGATGTGAACGAACTTGAGCTTCCACAGACTAGCGCCCGATTGGCTGCGGCAAGTGCGTCCCCATATACTGCGGCCAAGAACGAAGATCCTGCAACGTATTGCATGTTTGCGCCTTCGCGAATGTAAAGCAGGCCGCCTGCATTCCACGGATAGCCTTTGTGAGATCTAAACTATTTCACAACTGCCATAAACTCACACAATGCAAGATGATATCTGTACACATGGTACAGCTCGACTGCTCTGGAAGAAAGGAGAACTTCTATCACAAGAAAAAAGTATACGAGCGATCACGAATGGTTATACCTGGTGTGTAAGTTACAGTCTTTTGTGAGCTTTGAGGGAGAGTGGAGCATAAAAATGCATCAGCCTTGGCAGGATAGCTTTGAAGAGATGTCTCACCAGAAAAATACAACTGCCAATTCAATGACGTCGTCAAACGAAGGAATCATAACCCTTGAAAGCTCATCCCAATTTACATGACCTCAATCAATGCAACTGCTCCTGATCCTGATTCAAGAGCAGGTTGAAGCTGTAGTTTTTCTGTATTTGTTCATGATACTGACATAGCTGAAAAACTTCCAAGCGAATCAGTTTTAGGGCTTAGGACACTTACACTTGAGAGAAGAATTTGTAGTCCGGCATGTTTGTTGTCCCAGCTGAACTCTGATATGACGTAGCTCAAGCTGCTGTTATCCACCACATATTGTAGAAAAGTTGGCAGGCTCGATGCCTTGTATAGCCATGCCGCTGCCCACAATAGCTCATCCTGCGAGACATTATCAAACACGGAGACATCGTTGGATCACACAACAACTGCGGGTTAATGTATTGGGAACCATAAACAAAACAACACCCTGTTTCATAAACCCAAGCATTAATCACAGTTTGTGAAGGAAACCTACGTCGTAACCTGATGTGGAGCAGTAGAAAGGGCAAGCATCCGAGTAGGCGCCGCGGTAGGAATTTGCGAAGTCGAAAACCTGCTCCCAACCCAATCAACTCATGAAAGCATTCAGTGACCATGTAACTACTACAATCAATTCAGGATCAATAGAAACATTTCCCGTAAAGCTAAGAATTTCTACACATCTCCCAAAATCGTGTCTAGGGAGTTGTCAATGTTAAATATTTCGAGCTAACATTGGACTCGGGTTGCATTTTCGTAATTACCAATAAATCTGTCTTGGCGATCTATCTGTATTATATTGTCTACTATCTAGTAGAGAATTCTTTCGAAAGTATGGATTGAAATGCCGACCAAGTTCAGTGATACTATTGGGGAATCTCTGTACCGTCATGGCCGTGTCAAGAAGCTTCTCAGAGTAGACTGCATCATCGTCTTTGAACACAATAGAGGCTGCTGCCAGAGCCGCAGCAGTTTCTGCGGCAACTTCTGTTCCCGGAGACGATGCGTTGATTTGGTGAACGGTGCGTGGAGTGTCCATGTCCTCTGGCCTTTCCCAGCAATTGTGGTCCGAATTTGGATCCCCAGCCTGATAACAAAAAAAGAAATAGATGAAGAAAAAAAGAAGAAAACTTAAAGCTTGATCGAAATTACGCAAACAATGAGTGTTGGTAAAGTAAAGAGCACGATGTAATTTGGCCCTGACAGATCTCAAAATGTCGATCCCAAAAACGTTGACTGAAGGATGTCCTGAATGCATTCAAAACTTTACCAAGAGATCCATATTGTTTACGGTGTAATTAGTAGCAGCTCACCTGAACCCATAGCTGGGTAGGACCGGTGACACACTTGAGAAAGTAATCCGTGCCCCATTTGACAGATTGCTGCGCATACTTGAGCTGTCCTGCGTTTCTAAAAGCGTCTTTATACTGGATCACGCTCCAAGAAAGCATGGTAATTGAGAATGCCATCGGAAACTGGTACTTCACATTGTCGCCAGCGTCGTAGTAGCCTCCCGTGAGGTCCACCTGCACGTCTCAGTTGTCCAACAATTTCAGCATTTTACTGCATCGAAATGCTTCAGCTGTCTGTCACGTAGTTGTGCGAGTTCGACCTCATCTAAGCAATTCCAGGTGCACTGATACTCAGTAATTACTGACTGCAGCGTCTCATGGACTTCGAAATGTTGCAGATTAGTAGTGCGAAGGTTCAAATTACTGATAACTCTTGATTGGTGGTTTAAGATATAAGATTGTGATGAGCTCACATTGGATTCGGAGCCATCCGTAAGAGCAGAGTCTCCCCGCCATGTCATGCGTTGGTCTTCAGGGAGCTTTCCAGATCGTTGCCCCTCGAAGAATAGGATACCTTTGTACAGTGCTTCGGTGTAATTGAAGCCGCAATCAGTCCTTGCGGTGACCTCCAGTGTAAATAACAGCAGCACCACAGAGATTATTATTGGGATCTTGCAGTCGCAATGTGAAGCGAACTTCGGGTTCCTCAGCAGTTTTGTTGCTTCTTTCATTTTCGAAGAATGAGATCTTCTTCCACCACCTGTTTACTTTTTTAAGTATACAACAATGTCATGTATATCGAAGGGCACCAATGCCTCACCGAAGTTATCCACCCGAAAACTCAAAAAGCAACGATAATCTTTTGAAATTCTGATTCAGGAAATGTTTGTTAGCAGGTACTGGCATTTCTGTTCGTGGATTTGAGCAAGGGCCTGGAGCTCCTGGAATTATACACTCCCATTGGCCCTGGACAGATGCTATCACAAGCGTAGAAATGTTGGCAGATGTGTTTCTCAAAACAGGATCCCTACACATTCTAATTGCGTGCTTGACTTCAGAAAAATTCTTATAGCTTTTTTGCAAACTACACAAGATTTGCACCGGTCAGGATTCGCTCACAGTAGACAAGCGGCACCAGATGATAGGTCCAAATTTCACGTAACTTCAACCTGAAGACAGTGGTTTCGTAAGGGTCAGGACTCATACCCGACTCATGCTGATCTACGCACAATGAAAGTAAGTTTCGCAATGCAAGGCCTTTCCGAAATCGACTTTTTAAGCTCCAAAATTGGCAGATGCGGTAAAGAATACTGTGAAACGAAGGCAATCCGAATATCATGTGTCGATCTGTCAATTAGCCTACTAGTTGAGCGCCGGGACATAATCAGACTGGAGTGCAGAATCTCCGACAGATTAATCAGTAGGTACTCTTCCTTCTGTACAATTGCATTGTCTGATGTACTTGAATATGAGGAAAAAAATAGGCGATTGACTTTGGTGCGGTAGGAAGTGGCTAAGTGTGCGCTGCTAGAATTAGTTACCCAAGTAATCAGTTTGTGTCAGTGATCAAATTTGGTGACTGACCGTTACTGTCTGAGGAATATGAAAGACCAAACGTTTCAGCCAGTTCGACACTCTTCCGTTACATCTCCCCTGACTGGCTGCATAGAACTAGGTGTGAATTCACCGAATCTTTACCGACGCCATTGTCAAAATTGTTGTCCACACAGAAGTCGCACTCATGGCCCAGTTTTAGCAGCCAATCCCTAAACCTCTTAGAGTTTTAGCACTGACCCATTTCAAAACGTGGGTCATTGCATCGTCATTGTACTTAGTCGGATCTGGGAACAGACTTCACAGGTTAGTTCCATTCAACACTTGCTTTCTCAGCTTTGGTTCCACATCCTCCAACCGCAGAGGCAATTCTCACCCGGTTGCTTCATCTCAGGTAAGCTAAATCAGGTCCCCAGTCCCCACTTCGAAGTTGACGAGCTCGCTATTTGGAATGATCAACTGGAAGACGTCACTTGTTCCTTTGAGTGCGGGCATTCTGGTCGGAGCCAGACGAAGCTTTAAATTGATATTTATTCTACTCTTAAGTTTAATGAATTATTCACCATTATATCTACATGCCAAACTAATATCAAATAAGATGATGTAGATTGACAAAACTGATAGAAAAACTACAACTTCAATACTAGTTAATAATTATAATTCAAATAATAATAATAATAATAATAATAATTTTGATAAATAGATGAATTGAAAAATTTCAACATAAGAATAAAATAAAATAAAATAATTAAGGTAAAAAGATGTCTTCATGGAATTTTATGATATGATTCTAATTGATTTGTAAAATTATAAACAAAAAAAATTATATCTTTTGGTGGCTTTTCTTTATAATTATTTCCTTGTTAATAGATGTCCATCTTGAATGTGAAGTCTTTAAAAAATTAAAAGCTCTTAAATAGATTTTATTCAAATAATATATCTTGTTAAAAGTACAACTTTATTTATTAAAATCATTTTGAGACCAAAAGTGTTGGAAAATGTTTTCAAAAATTATATGATAAATAAAAGTATATACTTTATATGTTTATTAAGTGTATATTACATAATAAATTACTTTACATTGCAATTATAGTAGGTTATCAATAATATTATTTATAATTAAACATACAATATAATCAAAACAATGCAAATAAAGTTTCTATTGTTCTGTTGAATACACTCCTTTATTTTCAAAAGCATTGAATACAGTAGAAGAATACTGGCCACGTGACCAACACACAGTTGAAATTGGTACACTTATCCAAATATACATATATATATATATATATATGTGTGTGTGTGTGTGTGTGTGTTAGGTGTTAGTTGTTACATAGCTAGTTGTTCACAACATGACAACTTCATCAACCCATGCACTGTTGTTAATCAGTAGCAAACAATTGCTTAGATTCCAAACAAGCGTTTTCCAAATAAAGTTTTTATTGATCTGCTGAGTCCTGACTCGGCAGTGTGCAAAACACTGTTTGGAAGATGATCCGCACTTTCAGGGCAAAAAATTAAAGCAACCAACTTGGAAATACCGGTCGACTGTTGAGCTACCGATCATCAAAAGTGGGGTTCTAATAGGATTAAGTCATGTCAGACCCACGTTACATTTTGATGTAAACCAACTTCTTCTGGTTGTTGACCTTCCTCAGCGTCCTGAAACGTGTTGTCTGGTGGCAAAACGCAGTGGCCATGTCGTAGTAGAACCCATCGCAGTCGCAAGATGCTAGACAGGACGCCTTGCAGGAAGTCAAGCCTATTCTCTTGGGGTTGATGTACATGTTGATGTTAGCGTCGTAGCCTTTCAGTTCCAAGAAAGATTTACGGCTGCACTTGGCCACGTTGCTGTTCCGCTTGCAGTACGGAGCGTTGCTGCGGATACCAGTCCTCGTGAACTGGGGTGGGCAACTGCAACCACGACGAGCGTTTCTAACATCAGCCACAGCTCTTAAGACAGCCACAATATGAACATCGAATGTTGACTGTTGACATCCAGTGAAGCCTATCAACTTAGAAGCGGAGATAAAGAGAGTGCTAACCTGCATTTGGAATCAGCGCCACTGCAGATACTGTAGTCACCACAGTGGTTTGGCAGATCGCAGTTGTTGTCAAAAGCCTTGAAGCTTGAAAACCACGCATGATTTTTGAATGCGTAGTAGGTCTTCAAGTTGCCGTATGTGTCGATACCAAAATAAGGAGATGCGTAAAAGCCCTTCGGAGGAGGGGGAGAGCCCCACACGAGCTGGTTGTTCTGGGTGAAGAGACCAAGTCCTCCATCCTTGTTAATGGCTGCATACGCCACTTGCTTGAGGTTTCCTTTGAACAGCGTTTTCTTGAGGCTCCAGTAAACTTGAGGCTTGGGTCCGTTCATGATTAGCTGTAGATCCCCAGTCTTCTGGAGAGTAAGGAAGTATTGCCCATTGTTAAACAACACCTGCACCGTGCTGTCGGCGCCTACCGCCTCTTGATCCTGATCTGGGCTTTTCAAAACTTCTCCTACTCTGCAGTTCGTTAGTTAGCACAAGCCACTTTCGTCAGGAACCGATGGAGTGCCTCAGACACGACTTGACTGGCAGCATATTGCATTCCTGAAAGATATGAAATTTTGTGGTTCTACGCGCAGTCTTACCTCAATCTCTGCGGTGGGAGCATAGCCCATTCCCTGACCCCGAAGCTGCTGAAGATTACTTTCTTGTCGGCATTCCTCAGCTGCAAATCACCAGTGTTTGGAAGGTACATCGACTTCACATTTCGGCCGCCGGTTTTGGTATTCCATGCCATGGAGGTACGTCCTCTATACAGGATGTGAAGCTGAAGGTCTCCTTCCTTAGTGAAGATCACGGTACATTTGTCGCAGCCACCAGGGGTCACAGCAAAGTAGTTCGCGGTCCATACAAGGCGGTAGATCGAGTTTGTGTGCGCGAGTCGTAACGAAAGGGCACAACGATTCTTTGGGTCTGCTTGCAGCCACAATTCGTGGGATCCAGTACTCGAACGTAACAGCAACTTTGGACCTAGCGGTGGCACTACCCCGTTTTTGCGATTGTCAATGCTCGCAGTGTAACCAACACCACGGGTTGCAGGCGCCTCCTGATTCGGTTGGCTGGCGCATTGTGCCGCGAGAAGGAAAATGGTAATGACAACAAGCTTGCTGCCCACGTGTAATCCAGTAGACGACTTCATCTTTGCAAGCTCCAATCAATCTGCAATAGTCAATAAAACTAAACTCAAATCTACACAAATGAACATGAGAAGGATCGCAAGAATCAGAGATCGGAATGAAAACTTCATGCTATTTGCGTAAATAATAAACTGTTAGATTGCTCACTGCCATCACAGAAACCTCATAAGCTTGCTTGAAACTCACAAACATGCTAAACAGAGTCCAATACAATGAGGATGCGATAGGGCAGGACTGTGTTGTGGGGCGACTCACGCACCCTCGAGTGGATCTGATCCCTAGGTTCTGCACACGGCAACGCCCACAAGAGCCGGCTGCATTGAACATCAAATGCACAAGCGAACTTATAGTCATCGGACATGAAACCTTCGAATAGCCGATCATGGTCCCACTACCTCCCCCGCTCTGTAATCACCTCTAAAAGCCAACTTCATGTCTGAGAAATGTAGATCTGTTGCTTCAATTCTTATATTATTTTATAAATTGTGCACGAGTGCTTTTTAAAAAATAGTAAAGACGCCTGAACTTCCTTGCAAAGTCTGGAATTTGCGGACACTGAGTCCCAATTTTATTTCAGAGGGATTCAAGTTCAAATATGTCATCTCAGCACCACATATTCAAAAATTTCGCATAGTGAGCTTGAAACCGATACCTCGTCGAGACAGGATCGCAATGAAGCGCCGGAGGAGCTCTCACGTCTGTAACAAGCCCTCCCTGAGCAGATCATAGATCCTTTGCGACTAAGTGTAACTTGTGGTCCAACTCGTGCTGCGCTCCAGGAAACGCCTAGAGATCCATCTTGCGGACCTCCGTAAACGAGATCTGGAGATCCAGACTGGTGTGGGATTGATGTTTAGAATATAGGGTTAAACAGATTTTAGGGTCTTAGGACCATTGAGGGAAAATCGTCTAATGCAGATTCTTACAAATTAGAATGGCCCACGCTCCAGTGGCCCCAGGCGTTTTGAAGGCAACAGGGGGCCATATTCAAGCAATGGGGGACAAGGAGATCAAGCCGGAGCTCGTCGGAACTGTCACGAGCATGGAAAGAAACGACAAGATCCATCCAACGCGTGCGGTGCCAGGGGAGGTTCTTTCGGAGGGTTATTCACGCAACTGCACCGGATTCTTTCTCTGTAACAATGTAATGGAGGTCGAGGTGGACCAGGATACCGTCAAGAAAGACTCTGAATACCTCCAAAATCACGCGATTGTAGCCTATTTTGTGGGCGGTAAGCAATTCGCATTGATCATTTCTAGTTGGATCGACTTCGTGCAAAAGCAGGTGGGGGACTGGGTGGGTGAAGGCCGCGATATGGATCGTGGCTTCTTTCAAATCATGTGTCGCCAACTAGTAATCACTCAAAAGGTACTCACGTTGACACCGCACAAGTTCCAGTTGGGGATCTACATTGTGCAATCCTGGACCCCGAGATTCAATGCCGCACGCCACACAGGCTTGAGAGTCCCGACTTGGGTTACCCTTAAGAACATACCCAGTGAGTTCTTGGGGGTGGATGCCCAGATGGCCAACAATTTAGGAGAATTACTGAGGAGCGACAAACGTAATGCTCTTTTGATGGACCAAAGATTTTGTATCGGGCTCTCTTTAGGGTCGGGGTGGAAGACCTCTCTCTTCATCACGAATGCCGTGACAAGGGATAAAACCATCATACTGATCGACTATTGCAATCTTTCCATCCAATGTCGATTCTGCATGTCAACTAGTCACCTCGTTAAGTATTGTCGGGGGTTCCCTAGTCAAGGGGAGGAGTCCAAGGCTATAAAAAATAATATAACCTAGAAGGGGTAGACTTCCAAACCCGCGAAATCTAGACTTCCTCCAACCCCCCTGGTAGAAGAAGGTAAAAACTCGACAATCCTACTTAATAGTTCAAACAGTTTGGGGGTTGTAAAGGCTGCTAGTGGCTCTCGAGAAAAAGACCCGTCTTTTAGTAATTGTCACACCAGCATAGGGCCCCGATCCTTAGACTCATCATGTGAAACTCCAGAATGGGAATGGAACGAGTAGGAGAAGGTGCATCGTGGCAAGAAGGTCTGGGGTCCGTCCGAGAGCGAAATCTTGAAGCAACAAGAAAAGCTGGAGACATATAGGCAACAGGCATAAGTAATCCGGGCATCAATCAATTCCGGTTTGGTTGACAGGATCGCATGTTTGGCCACCCCATCTCCTCGTAGCCGGTTGCCTTTTCCTGCTCATAATCTTCACCCCAACCCAGGGGTACATAATCACGCATCAATAGCCTATGATCCTCGAGACCCAGTGGACCCAAGACCTGCCCTTGGCCAATCCATTGCGGAGAGCTTGGACTTGGCAACAGAAGATGGATCAAACCAGGAGGAGGAAACCCAGTTGGAGCCCCCAACTATCTCGAGCCCAATACACATATGTAATAACCACCCCATCGAGGTGGGTGATATACAAAACGAACCCAACGAAGTGTAACATCAAGGGCCACACCTCCTCTCCATTATTACACCACTCCTTGCTCTTGTTAGCTCTATCCCCCCCTCAACCTCCTCAAGAAATAGTCGCAGGACAAGAAAAGAAGACGGATGATTCTCATGTCTAGGTTGATAATGGATTGGAAGCCTATGTAAGAATGGCCATCGATCTGAAGGGGGTCGCCCCATTGTCACAGTCCATGGTTATTGAGAGTATAGGTGACGCCTCAACGGCGTATCCATCGTAACTTCTGATTTCAATACAAAGGGAGGACTTTCCCTCAGCAGCCTCAACCCCCCGTTCTCTACTGATGACCCCATCCGACGCAGATGTTCCGGAGTAATTCCATGCACAGTTTCTAGAGTGGCTCCGAGATAGAAGACTGATTCCCTCGAATGGTGGCTTTTTCATCCTCCAAACGAGGAAGCTCACGGATTATCAACTTCAGCATCATTTTGACATCCCGAAGTCTGCCCGATGGTAGATGTCAATTCCTCTTCACTCTCGTCGAAGCACTCAAAAAACTAGTACCAAATCAAAGTCGATTCGTGGATCCTTGCAAACCCCCCCCCCCCCTCCTCCCTCATGAAGCTCATAATTATATCTCAAAACTTTCAAGGGCTTAACTGCTCACAAAAGGTATGCCCATCACACTCAATGTAACAAACAAGCTATTCGTCAAAATGTTACAACTCCACCAACAGCCCATCCTTATGGAAGTAATTAGCGCCGACCAGTCTGCCTTCCTGCCTTTGTATTATATTCTAGATAATATAATTCTAACACACGAGACCAAAGATTGGACTGCGCATTCCAACCAATATCAATATTTTCTGAAATTAGATTTCAGCAAGGCCTATGACATAGCCGATTAGCAGTTTCTCTTTCGGACTTTGTCGGCTCTTGGCCTCCCCAAGTCTTTTGTTTCCATGACCAAGTTTATCTTGCTAGATGCGACGGCTAGAGTGAAGGTTAATGGTGCTCTCTCCTAGACATTCAGTATCATGAAAGAAGAGTGCTAGGGGTGCCCCCAAGCACCCTACATCTTCCTCATTGTAGCGGAAGTTATGAACTCCATGCTCAAAGTAGGTGTCTCTACTGGGTTGGCAAAAAGAATCCATTTGCCTGTCTTGGATTGACAATAGGTTGTGGCCCAGTACGCCAATGATACTTCCCTCACTACTGTGGAGAAAGAATCCTTGGCTCGATTTGCCATTGACATACTTAATACTTTTTGCCGAGGCTCTGCATTGATCATCAACTATGATAAACCCCCAGGATATTGGCAATGGCAAGCAGCTAGGACATCTGATCGACCTCCATGAACCAACAAAGATCGATGTAAAGTTCTTAAAGAACCAAATTAATAAAAAACTTAGATATTGGTGCTTGGCCAAGCTTAATTATATCAAAAGGAGGGTCATTGTGAACAAGGTCCTATTGTAGTCGATATTCTTCTTTGCATTTATTTGGAGGAGAACAAAGTTGACTTTATCCAAAGTCTCCTCTAGTACTTAGAACTTTTTGTGGTCAAAATTGATAAATCACACAAGCAATAAGGTCACATAGATTCAATGTTGTCTACCAAAAGCTTGAAGAGGGTTAAATTTCATAAATCTATTTGACTCTCTTATAGCATTAATGACAAAATAGGTGCTAAAGCCATTGTCGAATTGCCTGGTTTTCTATCTAAGAATACACTAGATACCTAGCTATAGAGAGTCTAGTTTTAACTTATTGGCCAAGCTACAATAAGTTATTTAACCATTAAAGTAGAAGACAAATAAATACTACAATATCAAAAAGATATTATATTAATAAAACCTTTTATATTTAAAAAAGTTTGTACATAAGGCTTTCTGAAATATCTAGAAATCGTCTAATATTCTTGGTTATATCAAATCATAACTAACTATTTGCTAGTAAGTTAGATTTTTAATAATTCCAAAGAAAATCCATAATCTCTTCTCAAAAATTCATCTTTATATCAAAATTTAACCATAGCTCCATATATTTATCTTCAAAATATATATATATAAAGTTATTACTTCCAAAAAACCCCTTTACTTCTTTGTATCTCACAAATCCAAAATCCAAATACTACAAAACTTGTGTATAAAGTTTAATAATATGAAAATACACATTCTTAGAAATTTTTAACTAAAATCTTATCAAATTGCATAAGATATATCTCAAAACACAACCACTAGTAATTTGGATCACTTATTACTCCTTAGATTCCAAATGCTAACTTCAACTTCCAATAAATCTCTCATCTAAGCTAAGAATTCATCAAGCAATATATATAAAGTGTAGCCAAAAAAGTTCTACCAACAAATCAACTTCAAAAACTATTATCAAAAGAAAATAAAGTTATACAAATTCTAATAGTAATCTTTTTAAAAAAACCTCTTTTTAAAGTAGTAATTTAACCACACTCTACAATCAACTAAAATCCAATAATATAGCTCTCATTATGTTTTTAAGTAAATTTTATATTAAATATATAAACACATTATTTTCACGTGATAGCCAAACCACAACACATCAATATAAGAGCCCAGCACATGAAATCTACATTTGATAATTTGGTACCAATTATCCTACTTTCAGCCATACAAGCAGAGTTATTGGCTACCTAGCCTTATATACTTCATCTTGCCAAATTTATAAGCCAACTACAATTCAAAAATGTAGAATAGAATTGAGGTGTCATGGAAGTCATTTCTCAAGGAGGTCTCTCAATTTCAACTTAGTTTGCATGACAAACTAATAAGTAAACTATTTTGGTGGTTGACATTTACTCATTTGTTTGATACCAAATTTTTTAGATTAAAGACGATGCACTTACAATGGGCGGATTTGGATTTTGTTAAAGATGTCAAAACCAACAATTGCTTTCTCTTGACAATAAAAGCTACAACACAATATGAATTTTTGTTCATAGAGTTTGA